AAATACTTTGCCTAGTTTTGAAATAAAGTCTTTATTTTTTAGAATAGTTTTAGATTCACAGAACTGGAGACACAGTCCAGAGTTTGCATATCACTTGCACCCTGTTTCCCCACTGTGAACATCTTACATTAGTATGGCACATTTGCCAAAGCTAATGAGCCAGTATTAATACCTCATTACTAACTAAAGTCCAAGTTCACTGAAGCTTCTTTAGTCTGTACCTCCTGCTTGCTCTGCTCCAGGTTGCCACTCAGGATACCACACTACTTGTCACCATCATGTTTCCTAAGCTCCTTGTGCCGTCACAATTTCTCAGCCTTTCCCTGTCTCGGATGACTTTGAGAATTTGGAAGAGTACTGGTCAGGTGTATTAGAGGTTGCACCTCTGTTAGAATCTTTCGGAGGCCTTTCTCATGACTGGAGTGAGGTTGTGGGTTTTGGTGTAGTGCCACTGTCATCACATCACATATACACTGCTAGCAAGATAGCTGCCTGCTGGAGCTGACCTTGGGAGAGCTGACAACTTGGTCTTTTCTGTCCCACACTGGAAGTCCTCGGGTTGCAGTGCTATTGGCTCTGATCACATCCAACCCTACCACAGAGCTGAGAAGCTTGTACCTACTTTAGGTAAGTTGTACAGGGAAGATAAAGGGATGCAAACTACAGTGTTGCAGGCCTCTCATCAAACTTGCCAGTGGCCAGTCCTCCATCTTGAGCTGATTTAACCTATTGGAGCATCTGACGCAGAGGAAGACACCCTCCTCTTCACATGCCACTGGTTTGCTGGGACGCAAGCTCCCCTGGGTGCCTGCCTGCTTTCTTGGCTGCCATCTCGACCTCTGCGTCTCTTCCTCAGCACTCTAGCACCAGCACGATGGTGTCCTGAGATCTAACCTGACTCTTCCCTGGCACTCACCTCACGAACACTGGCCAGTAAGGAGCCAAGCACCCTCATTCCTGGACCCCTCTTCTTAGTGTGCACCTAGATACCCACAGCAGCCTTCTCCTGCTCTTACCTCAGGTTGTTCCTCAAATGTCACCCTCTCATCAGGGACTTCCATGGACACGGTGGTGTTTCAGATGCCCTCCCTCCCCCCGGCACCCTCTGTGCTCCCCCATACCACACATCATCCTCCAAAATACTTTGTATTTTACTTATTAGTTCCCTTGGCCCACAGCGATGCAGCTTCCTTGAAAGCAGGACCTAGAGAGAACACACGCTCAGTGATATCCACTGGAGGAGTGAAGGCATCAAAGGGCGAGGAAGTGGTCTTGTGTGTCTGAGCCCTTCTCCTTACCACATCTGAAACCTTAGCTTCCACTTCTTTATTCTCGTCAGCTTCGGGATGAGAAATGCCAGTTGAAAGACAAGCAAAATGAGGGGAAGACATCAGGAGCGATGAACCCTTGAAGGAGGAATGCAGGAAGGACAGAAATAAAATGGGAGAAATAAAGGAGAGAAGCGCTACCATGGAACAAGAGAGGCAGACACAAAAGGGGAAACGGGTAGAGGAAGCATGGGAAGAAGCTTCTGGAGCATCCTGCATATTGGTTTCACTTAAACTGTAAAGACCACAAGATACTCCATGGGACCTGAGTGCCACATCAGACCTCTCTCATGCATCACCACCAGGACACCTGGTGGTTTCAGGGACTCCCGTTTGGAAAGGCACTTGATAGCTCGGCACACGCACAGGCCCTCCCACTTTCTGGTTCCTCCATGGTGACCTTCCTGGGCAAAGCATATTTCCAAGTCTGTAACAGTGGGGACAAAACCATCGCGGGGCTTAACTGATCATTGGCGCAGAGTCCTTCTGTACTTGGGGTGACGTTATAGGCTGCACTGGTCCTTAACTCACCCAAGATTTGTCCTCCTTTTAGAGATTACTTAAAGACATGTACAGAGAGAGACAGGCAGCATCACACTGCCACGAGTGGAAGAAGCAGCATCAATGGGATCATCCCAGAGCCCTCATTTCTTTATTCTGGAAAGGAATTATGCTTTCCACTGGCCAGGAAGTAAAAGTAAAAGGCTACAAGCACTCTGCAACAACTTGCTAAATAAGTTTTTTGACACATGGCAACGAGTGATTAATCACTGTGTGAGGAGATTCCTATGGAGATGTGCTGAGATACGGATGCTGTCCATGCTTGATTAGACACTGCTTAAGGAACATGGAGGTGCGCCGCACAGTCTATTATTTCTGGCTATTTTGGTATTGCTGCTATATTTATTTTACACAGCTTTAAATTGGACAGAACTGATGAAGTCCATTTCACAAGGCCTGTCCCTACCAACAATGAGAGGGGAAAAAGAACAAGGCTATAAAGAATGTCTATTTGAGAGCAAGAGAAACGAGAGTGAAAGAGACTATGGAGAGTAGGACGACATTGCTCCTGTGTGTAAAGCTCTCTGCTTTACAGAGAAAGAACCGCAAGGGAGACGCCGGATTTCCTATGAGGCCGTAAGAAAACTGACCCATGTCTGCTGGCTAAAACCTTTAGGGTATCAAAGATAAACTAAGGCTAAGGCTTTCCAAGGGCTTTATTAATCCAAAATAGCCATGGATTTTATATCCACTCCCTTGTATGTGTGAGCACTGACTCTGGTCCAGGTACTGAGAAAGCAGACAGACACACCCCAGCCTCTTGGAGCCTACAGTCTAGTAAGGAGATATCCTCTGGATCCCCCAGTGCCATGTGTGCACGCTAGCCTGTGGCCTGTCACACCCTGTGTAAGAATCAAGAGTTGCAGCGGAGATTCAGCTCTCCAGGGTCACATTCCGCTTGACCGGCATGCTCAGACATGATGCGCCAGTCCAGCTGGAAAGGCATGGCTCGTTGGCTCCATTATTTCTGGAGAAGCGCTTCATCAACTTGTGATCTTCTGATGCCAGCCTCAGCACTGCCTGGTTAGTGCAAGGTTACTCAGATGCCAGTTTCCGGGAAATGTTTGGGCCCATGCCGTCTGCCAACAACTGTGTTAATTTACTTATTTCAGTTAAATTTAAAAAATCACTTTAAAAAAGCATGATTGAATTTAGGAATTATATTCCTCAGAGAATGAGTTATAGTTTTCTGTGTCCCTCAGGCCTCATTGTTCTTAACTTCCCCTTGTCAATGTTATTATGACTAGACTAATTCAATAATGAACTCATTCCCCATAAGAGCAACCAAATAATGCAGCATTCAGTCACACCTGGCTTCCCCAATCTGAGCAAGAAGGCTCTCCACCAATTTCAGCCTAAAACAGGGGATGTAATAAACATGCACACACACATACACACACTCCCACAAATAGGAAGAAAAAGGGAAGGAGAAGGACAGAGAAACAGGGGACAGTGTGGCAATGAAACAAATTAGAGTAATAGATTGTGGAAGAAAGGTTAAAAACTAACATCTAGGGTTCATTTCCAAAACAAAGGTCACAGCATATATGTCTTCATAATTGTCAAAGCGGTATAATATTTCACCATCCCCTTAAGTGTCTCAGGAATTTCTTCAAAATTTCCTGAACTTCTCAAGGAATCAAAAAACCAAGTGAAAAGATACAGAAGTACTACTTATTAGGCAGGAGCACTCTGGAGTACTAAAAACAATGGACATCTTAGCCATAAGGTGTTTTGGAAATGAAGGCGTTTACGGAATAATCCACCTTTGTATAAATGGCAACGCAGTGTGAAGGTACCATATTTATCACCTGTCCTCTTCAAAATTGTTCAAGCTTTCATTAAAGCACCAAAGTTTTGACATTTTAAGGAAGGTACAGACAGTATAAAGATCAAATGAAGGCTAGGCATGGTAGCTCAGGCCTCTAATCCCAGCATTTTGGGAGGCCGAGGTGAGAGGATTGTTAGAGCCCAGAAATTTAAGCAAGACAGCAAGATCTCAACACTACAAAAATAAAAAATAAAAAAAATTAGTTGGATATGCTGGCACATGCCCGCAGTCCCAGCTACTCAGGAGGCTGAGGCAGAAGGATTGCCTGAACCCAGGAGGTCGAAGTTGCAGTTAGCCATGATGCTTCCACTGTACTCTAGCCTGGGTGACAGAGTGAGACTCAACTTGAAAAAGACCAAATGCAGAGAGAACAAAATTAACTATCAAATTCCACGATGCTTCCACTGTACTCCAGCCTGGGTGACAGAGTGAGACTCAACTCAAAAAAGACTAAATGCAGAGAGAACAAAATTAACTATCAAATTTGAAAAATCATAAGAAACATTAAAAATCGAGATCAGCAAACCTATAAAAGAGAAAGGACAGTGCTGAATGCCCACGTTTCTCCCAGGGAAAACAAGGGGAAGAGATGGGGCTCAAATGGGACAAGACGGAGGGAGAGATGGGAAAGAGTGCCATGTACACGTGTGCCTAGTACACGTGACTTACAGTTGAGAGGAAAAATGAGAAAACGCAGATGTCCAAAAATGTGCAAGTCATTACAAAACAAAGTCTTTCTTATATCACAGAATGTTTGTTTGGGCATTAAAAGTAGTGCTTTCAAGGAGTGTTAATGGTTGCGGAAAAAATCATGTTTTCAAAGAGTATAAGTGATAAGGGAAGACAATATAAAATTATGACATTACATTAACCTGGTTTCCACTTTATAAAGAGAGAAATCACGTACACGGGTACATGCGAGGAGTCACATACACTCACATGCACAAAAGTCAGGGGAAAAGACAGCAAATATCACAGACTCTCGACTGAGGGCTTATGAGGAATATTTTCTGCAGGGAGCATATATACCTCTAAGATCTGAAAAAGTAAGTTCCTGAAGTTCTGTAGTAAGAAGAACTTAGCTTCGACAGCAGGAAAAATCTCCTGCCTAATGACATTAAACTTTCAGTGGAATTGTGTGGAATCATCTTCTCCATAACCTAAGGACATGTACTGGTTTCCTTCTTTTTAAGTACCAAGAACCTATTCTATAACATGACTTCACAGGCAGTGAGGTCTGGGTTTTGGAATAAGACACCAAGCTCAATCGTCTCTCCTACCTTGCAAAGTCCAGGTCTGCCTCCCGTGACATGGTGATGTTGGTCAGGTTCTGCTGGAGAACAAAGATGTTTCTGCACATCTTCTTGATGCCGGACTCGCTGATGCGCCTGAAGTACTGGGCGCCATTGATGAGGATGCAGGCGATCAGGTGTCCCAGGCCTGGCAGCACAGTGGGTGGGGGGAGAGGTGGGAGAGAAGCCAGGCTATAGCCTCCTGCAGACACCCGCACAGAGAACTGCTGGCTCCTCATCTGCTACACGTTCACATGACCAAAGAAGGCACATCTCTGGTGGCTGCATGTGCCTGTCTCACAGAGAATTCAGAGGAGCACCACACTGCCCTAGCAGTCGCAGGCGGGTGGGCTCTGCACCCACAGCCTGGCATTCCTTCATCTGGCACTGCCATTACACACCTACTGTCATCAGATCAGGGGCTCAGAGGACATGCCAGGCTGCTAGAAACAAAGTGCACAGGAGTGCCTGCTCTTCTGGACGCATGTTTGGGAAGCAGAGAACACATGCACATTCAATGGTTTGCTTGGCCTCTCCTTCCTTCTACAAAACAGAGGGGGACAATTTGGACTCAAAAGTTGATGGAGCCTGAGGCAGGAGGATCGCTTGAGCCCAGGAGATTGAGGCAGGCCTAGCAACATAGCAAAACCTTGGAGTGTATGCCTGCAGTCCCAGCTGCTTGGGAGCCTGTGGTGGGAGGATGGCTTGAGCCCATGAGCTAAAGGCTGCATTGAACCATGATTGCACCACCGCACGCCAACCTGGGTGACAGAGGGAGACCTTGCCTCTTAAAAATAGTTGATCAGGAACCTGTGTAAGTAAAAATAAATCAATAGAAAACGGGGCCTTAGCAATAATGCAAATCACCTCAACACTGACAAGTAAAAATAAATCAATAAGAAATTAGGTACTGGCAATAATGCAAATGCACCCCACACCCACACTGGCAGTGGGGTGCCTCTCTAAATGAGTAACTGAGGAGAATGAAATCAGAAACAAAGGGCAAAGGAAGAGTCAGTCACACATCTTCCACTGTGTTCCCAAGGGACACTGAGGGCATTTCTGGGGTTCCAAGGCTTCTCTCACATCTGAAGGGCTGTCTGTGGTCTATGAAACTGAGCAAAGGGCAACTCAGGACATCAATAAACTCAGGTCCTCTTCAGGACAGCCCACGTAATTAGGTTGAGAAATGCTGGTTCAGAGCAACGTGAGGCGCATATGGGGTACTATTTTTAAAAGTTAGATTTTAATTTTAAATGGAACTCGGTAAACGTGCCTTCCTTCTTTTCTTATTCCTGCAGTTGGACTCTAGCAGATACTTTTCTCAGAACCTGAAGCTGGTCTAGGCCCAGGCAGACCCGCTTTTGTTAGTTCTCTCTTCTGAAGTCATGGTCCCTTCAAAGGGCTCAGGGACTGAAAAGAGTGCAGGGCTAATCTTCAAGTTCAGGGCTCCCTCTGTCTTCAAAATGAGGCTTCCCTTGATGAAGGTGGGGGGGTGGGTGGAAGAGGCATTGTCCTGGCTGCAGTTACCTTCGCACAATACACAAGACTATACACTCGTATGTGCTACTATTTGAAAATGAAGAAAAATATTTTTACACAACCATGATTTCTGAAAGCTAGACAACTTATTTACATGAACAATTTCTGTAGGTCAAATGTTAGTGTCCTTCTCCCAGGCCCATGACTCTAGGTCCAGCTTTTACCTGCCATAGCATAATGTGGTTTGCCCAAAGTGTAGGCAGTGAGCGGGTACACTGTTTGCAGAGAATAAGAAATAACAATAAATTAAAGTAAATATGTTGAGGAAACACAAGCTGTAATAGGAATAATACTAATGTTGACACACAGGGCCGGGAAGAGACATGGTCAAGAGCAAAGAAGCAGCTCCGTGTAGCAGGGAAAAGTGAATCTTGGAAGGGCACTACGGCTGCAGGCTGGGGAGTATTATAGGTGCCATCAAATTTATAGTGCCATGGGGCTAACAGCTGGCCCTTTAATCACATTTTCTGGCTGAAGTCTTTTAGGGATAGTCATCATCAGGGCACATACCCATCTTTAAGTTGAATGGAAGAATAGGATCTTTTGGCCCAAATTTGCTGGAATATAACCGTTTCATAAATCAAACACTGGCACGAATTGTCAATTTGCCACATTCTTTGGATGATGTACCTTCTCATTTGTCTGAAATAACACTAGGTTAATTATGTGAGAGAACACAGGTCTACACACAAGCAAACCAAACCAAGTAAAAAGGGAACATAATTTGAGATCCTCACAGGGATCCTATGGGTAAAATTCACCATGAACATCATCTGGCTGGCACCACATTTTCCAGAACTGTGCAGGCCAATGTCTGCAGATGGCACCTCATGATCCTCAAACCCTTCCTTGCCTGCCTGCCTTTTGAAGGCATTTGGGGTGATAAAATGTGTTCTGTGAGAAAGCCTCCCATTCCAGTGATAACTGTAGCCAGTCAGGATCTCTCAGGATTCTCCACTCATTGTATATGTGTGCTTTTTCTTTTATGGGCTCCTCTTGAGTTAATTCGTGACCCACTCTGCACACTCCCTCAAATCTCATGAGCGGAGTGTCAGAGAGGCAGCCATCTGTTTTATCTTGGATTAAATCTCCTTATCAACCAGGAGCAGATGGTGGCCATATTGTTGTCTACCTAGCCATACACAGAGAGGATAGGTATTGCAGATTTAGTTCAAACAAGCAAACAAACAACTTTTACAACAAGTTTTGAACTTGATAATAAGAAAATCAAGAACACCTTCACCCTTCCTTCCCCCAAACTCCCTGAGGCAGAAGCAGGGTCTGACCTTCAAAGATATACTGGAATTTGTGCTGCTGAAGGCTGGCGCTCATGGTTTCCTCAATGGCGCTGATGTCTTTGTTGAGCTTGACCACCAGAGGGTCATAATCCATGCTTTCCACGTTAGCAACAATGGCATAGTTGCCCTCCTTTGCCAAGGGGATGAGATAGTGGAAACAGTGGACCCTGAAAGAGAGAGAGGGGGAGGGCAGTTGACCACAAATCCTTCGAGTGAAGATACTGATCTTGGGACTGAGACCAGAATAGCTGAAGCAGCAATGGCTCTGAACATTTTTTTTTTTGAGTTGGAGTCTCACTCTGTCACCCAGGCTGAAGTACAGTGGCATGCTCACAGCCACCCCAGCATCGATCTGCTGGGCTCAGGCGATCATTTGCCTCAGTCTTCCAAGTAGCCAGAACCACAGGCACACACTATCATGTCCAGCTAATTTTTTGATTTATTGTAGAGATGAGGTCTTGTCAAGTTGCCCAGGCTGGTCTTGAACCCGTGGGCTCAGGCAATCCTTTCGCCTAAGCCTCCCAAAGTGCTCGGATTATAGGCTTGAGCCCCCTGCCCCTTTTTCAGCCAGAAAGTCATCTCAGATTTTCTTATAGAACAGCTGAGTGATGCGACCAAGTTGGTCCCATGCTTTTTGCTTGTTCAGTCCATGCAGTGTTGGTAAGGAGATCTGATGGTCCTCTCAACACCAGGACAGTATGCATAATGTGAGAAGCATTCTCTCTACTAACAGATATTGCTGCAGCAAAAATTAGTGGCAGAGCTCACAGCTCTTACCAGTGTAGGCTACAGAAGGAGACTATGTGGATTTTGATGCACAGTCCCAACATGTTCCAGCTGTATGCCTTTTATGCCTTTAGGTGAGCTGCTTCTCGCTCTCTGCCTCCATTTCTTCACCTGTGAAGTGGGATGGTAATGACACCGACCTCCCAGGTTAAAGCACAGTGTCTAGCACTTGCAGAGTGCACTGTAAGTGTTGGCTGTAGTCACTAATCTTACATGGGTTGCTAATAATTTAAGCAAATCACCTGCTGAACATCCATGAATGTGTTAGCATTGTGCTAGGCCCTGGGAACAGAAGACACTTCATGACCTTCAAGACGCCACAGCCCACTGTAGCACATGGAGAAAAAAACAACTCCAGGAGAACAGTCTCTCTCCAAGCACATCTACACAGGGAGCATGGGTGTCAGGGAAGGTTCATGATAGGACGTGACTCTTGAGTCTCCTGGCATTTGTCCGAGGGAGCTTGAGGAAGGAGGGCATTTCTATGCTCAAATGGCCCAAGGCAGTTTGGTCACACCCGACTCTCAGGTAGATGGTAGTTCAGATGAACTCTGAAGTAGGCGAGGGCTGGCTACACTCCCAAGGACGTTTTAAGTAGTAATGAAATCTCAGTCTAAATTCTGCCACACATATGGGCAGCATTTATTCTGAACCCCCATCACCTAAAGATCCCCAAGCCAACGTCAGCCCCGGGCAGGCACAGCACAGTCCCGACTCTGCATTGATGCAGGCACTCTGCTCATGGAAGTTTCACTGGAGGTCGCCAGGAAGATGATTCAGAGTCAGGGTTCTGCCACTCTCAGAGCAGGCCTCGGGTCACAAGGAATATTCCTAAACGAGCGACTGCAGAAGCCTTGGGATTTACTCCTAAGGACTCAACAGCAAGCCTTGCTCACCATCTTTCTTCATTTAAATCCAGATTCACTGAGAAATAATTTATCAACAGTAACATTCCTCCTCGTTAGAAGGCAGTTCTGTGAGTTCTGACAAATGCAAACCATATGACCCCACCAGAATAAAATGACAGAAAGCGACTATCATCCCAAGTTCCCTTGTGTCCCCTTTCAGTCAGTCCCTACTCAGCCCCGAGCCTTAGGCAAGTGCTGGTCTATTTTCTGTCCCTACAGTCTTTTCCAAAATGCCATGCAAGAGGAATCATACCGGATACAGCCTTTGAGCTTGGCTCTTTCACTGTGTATGCGGTATTCAAGACTGTTCTATGCTGCTGTTGCTCTTTTCTGTTGCTGGGTAGCCTTCCACCAAATGGATGGACCAGTTTAGCCACCCACCAGTTGACATTTAGGCTGTTTCCAGTTTTGGATGGTTATAAATAAAGCTACTTCATGTACAGGGGTTTGCATAAAAATAAATTTTCATTTATCTTGGGTAAATACTCAGAAGCGAGATTGCTGGATCATGTAGTAAGTGCCTATTTAATGTGCTGCTTTCTGAAGGAGTGTGCCGCCTTGCTTTCCTACTGGTGGTGTATGGGTGTCCCAGTTGCTCTGTCCTCACCAGCTCCCAGTGCTGTCAGTTAAAAAGATTTTTTGGGGGGATCATCCTAATGAGACCTCTAATGAGAGATGCATAGTGTTCACTCATTGTGCTTTTAATTTGCATTTTCCCAATGACTAATGATGTTGAGCATATTTTCACATGCTTGTTTTCTATCCAGATATCTTTGGTGAACTATCTGCTCAAATCATTTGCCCAGTATTAAAAATTGGGTCATTGTTTGTTTGTTATTAAGTTTTAAGAGTTCTTTATCTAGCTGGGCTTGTTGGCTCAGCCTGTAATCCCAGCACTTTGGGAGGCTGAGGTGAGTGGATTGCCTAAGCCCGCGGGTTCGAGACCAGCCTGGGAAAACTGGCGAGACTTCGTCTCTACAATAAATAAAAAAATTACCTGGGCGTGGCAGCACATGCCTGTAGTTCTGGCTACTTGGAAGGCTGAGGTGAAAGGATCACCGGCGCCCAGCAGGTCAATGCTGGGGTGGCCATGAGTATGCCACTGCACTCCAGCCTGGGCAACAGAGTGAGACTCCTTCTCAAAAGATAAATAAATAAATAAATAGAGTTTTTTACCTATTCGCATACAAGCCCTTTATCAAATATGCATCTTGCAAATATTTTCTTCTGGTCTTTAGCTTGTCTTTTCATCTTAATTTTTAATATTGATGAAGATCTACTTATTATTATTTTCTTTTATAAAATGTGCTTTTGGTGTCATGTTTAAGAAACTTTCCCCCAGACAAGGCCACATTCTTTCCTCTGTTTTCTTCTAGATGTTTTAGGTTTTACATTTAGTTCCATGATCCATTTTGCACCAAGTTTTATATAGGATATAGTATTATGTTCTTATCACCTGCGCATGCAAGAGAATCCAAATATCTTGATTACTGTTCATTTTCACTGATAAGTGCTCATCTAATTAACTAATGGCTAATTTCACCAATACAAACTCATCCTTACACTCATGTACTAATTGGTAAAATGTGTAGTTTTGATCAGGATACCAGTAATGGCACTGATAGAGGCCTCCTCTAGAATGTGACTTTTCTGATGTCAGGAAAGTTGACCGGCCCTGAGGTGGGAGGCATGACGGGGGCAACTGATTGTACCTGTGGTTGAAATGTCAAAGAAGGAGCACGTTGTTCAAAGTAAAACCAAAGCCTCAGAACTTGTGAGCCCAGACAAGGGCAGGCCGTGCAAAAGGCCCGAGGCTGTGAGTGGAGAATGTTCTGAGGGAGATGAGTGGCTCCTTCCTATTGCCCAGATCACCTGACAAGGCCTGTGGTGAGGTGTGTGTGTTGGGGGGACAGGCAGGGTTGGGTCAGCATAAGCTTAGGAGGCTGTTGGAGGGATCACCCTGGAAGTTGTGGGGAGACAGACTCAGGAGAATGCCAGAGATGAAGGATGCAATCTTGAGCTTTGGTCACATTGACCTGGCACAGGGTAGGAGTGAATGACTGGGAGAGAACAGAAGTGACTGGAGTCCGCAGACTAGCTCAGCAGTTTTCAGGACCTGGAGGTGAGCTTATGAGATCCTGAAGCTACTGGCAGAAAGGAGGGCTGACCACTGCTCAAGGCACCATCTACATCTTCCCAGATGAGTAGAGATTAAAAAAGAAATTAAGACAGTCATCAGTGAGTGTCAAACTCAAGCAGCATTTTTTCTTCTTGTAAATTCTGGCATGTTGTTGCTGACCTTCACATGACTTAAGGCATTAAGGTTTTCTGTAGACACTGCTGATTACACAGCAGGATGGTTGATTTTCAGAGGCGCTCGGAGCCCAGTGGTAACAGACAGTTGCTGCTGAGCCCACTAAGAGCCCCCTGAGGGTGAGTGAAATCAGCTGATAAAGGTGACATTTTTGGCATCTTGGACTCAAATGGCGACTTAATTTTCTTCCTCTAAAGTCCAAATAGGAAAAAACTGGCAACAGTGCTTAATGGTCTCACCATGTCTTTTATCTCTTGGGGGCACCATTTGCCTTCTGCTTCCCGCTGTGGAAAGGGGCTGTATGGCGGCTGAACGTGACCTCCACTGACGCAGGTAAAATTTCAAATGCTCTTTGGGTAGGTCTTTCAACATATAGCCTGCTGGATTTGAGAACAGTTTTTGGTTTGAACTTTAACAACGTTAAAGAAAAATACAGGCCATGGATATAAAGATATTTTGAGGACTAGGGCACATTTTGGGCACATGCAGTTGTTCTGGACTTCTCGCTAATTTCTTTTGAGTTTCTTCTTTTCTGTCTGTGCTCTCTTACTGTGGTGGCCTCTTGGCTATAAGAGCCAGAGACAGCAAGTTCGTCAGTCTCTCTTCCTTACACCAGTGCTGAAACACAGGGTCTGTGTCTGATTCTTTTTTACAGCAGAATGGGAACAAAATAAACACTACTGGTTGATGGGAAAGCTGTAGGTCACAGTGACTGTGCTCTCAGACACATGCAGTGGGCTAGTAAGGGGACTTCTGTGTGAAATGGCATCTACAAACCAAGTTATTTTCTCTAAAGAGCAATAATTTTCTTTGTAGAAACAGAACTTACTTTATCTGGGTTCGGTTTCAACCCAGCTGACTATTACTCAACCAGGTCTTCATGGGCAGGGACAGTCAAATGACTGACAAGGAAGAGCTGGCGGTCTCTCATGGTCACACACCCAGGGTATCAGTAGTAGCCTCACTCTGGCGTTACTGTACCATGGTGTCACGGCTGTGTGAGGTCTGTCTTGTTCATTTTGTGTCAGCACTGCACAGACCAAAGAGTTGTCAATGTGACAAAGAGAGATAAGTGTCCCACATTCCTTCACGAAGCCTCTGTGGAGCTCTCCGCTACATTATGGACCACACCCAAGAGGAACAGAGATGAAGGAGGTGTGCTCAGAAGAAGGCAACCTGAATGCTGAAACTACGGCACACGAGGAAACGAGGGACCTTAATTTAGAAACATACACGTTTACTGCTCTCAGTAAGAGTCAAGATAATTCTGTATCCAGGAATCTGAAATTCAATATTTCTTGTGATTCATTCTTAAAATATCCTTTTCTGTTTTTAGACTATTGTTGAAGGAGATATAGCAACAGGTGTGAAAGTGCAGTTTCTTGTAAAATTAATAAATAATGACTAAGGCATGTGCAGCATTATTAAGAATAGTGTTGACAAGATACAAAAACATAAGGGCAGAACAGGGCTAAGGACTGAAAAGACCTTACGCAAATGTGTTGCAAATATCCCATTTGGAACGAACTACAGTATAAGTAGACAGTTCTGAATACAGAACACGTCATGTAACCACACAATCAATAGTATGAATTCCAGGAGTTGTGATAGATATTAATTGGGTATTCTTTTATTTTTCTTTGCAACCCAGGTAACAGAATACCACTGGGTGTGTTTATTTCCCTTTATCCACTGCATATATCTGTTCACAGAAAACCCCTGATTTATTTTAAAGTCCACTTGTAAATAAATAAAAACCCAAACTAAAAATTATAAGACAAATCAGAAAATATATAGAGTCTTTATTTCGGGACAGATTAATGGAAAGAATAAGATCAGAAATAATGCTGAGCAAAACAGATCCTAAACCTGCATTGCTCTTTCTTTTGTGCCTCTTGCAAGGTGCTCACACGCAGTACAGGGTGACTTGCTGGGCAAGGTAAGGAAGGGCTAAAAGCAAGAGGCACTTGCAGGAGTGACAGCAACACCCCTGAAGGAAATCCAGCTTCCAACTGGATCCCAACGTATTCTAGAGGATCGCCTGTCAACCAATGTCCTACTGACATTTTAAAAACCTAAGTCTAGTAAAGGCTTCAGGTGAAAAATGCAATATTCTATTATCCCTAGTAACATTTCAGAGCAACACAGAACAGAATGTATGGCCATAGCATACACCTTCTGATCCTGAGGTCTTTAAAGCACGTGTCTGACATGACTGCCTAGATGTTACAGGCATTACCAGCGGACGCTCCCAAGAGGGAAGCTTGGTTTCTACCTGCACCTCAGTCTTCGTTGCCTGAGACCCACAGTGCCTCTGGCCCCAGGGCAGGTGGTTCCCCCGAGTCCTTCCTGTCACTGCCACTGGCCCATGTGCCCAATCAGTTTATCAGCACACTGTCAGCTCTACTGCCAGGCCCTGTCCCAAATCCAGTTCTTGCCACACCCCACCTCTGTCACCTCGGTGCCCACGACTGCCCTCAGCTGCCCTCCCCCTTCCATTCCTAGTTCTCCCTGCAATCCCTTTTCATACAGCAGCCAGGGTGATCTTTACACATGTTCATTAATTAGATACCATCTCTCCTCTGCTTAAATTCCTCCAGTGTCATCCTAATGTCACAATATTTATGACGTCTGAACCATTCACTTGGTCTGTAAGACCCTGAAACACATCCTTCGTGATCTCACAAGGCCCAGTCAGGCTTCTGCACCTCCCCTGCATCCCCCTCTGCTCCTCTCCCGCCCCCCCCCGACCTTGATCCTCAGCCTACAGCCTATCAGGCCCCTCTCCACTCTCAGGAAAGCCACGCTTGGTTTTGTCTCAGGACCTTTGTGAGTGTGGCTCCCTCTGCCTGAATGCTCTTCCTCTAGCTCTTCGTACAGATGACTTCTACTTGCTTTATCACATTTCCTCTGACCACTCTATCTTAAAAAACAAAAAAAATGTAAAAATCCAGCCAGGCGCTGTGGCTCATTCCTGTAAATCCCAGCATTTAGGGAGGTCAAGATGGGAGGATTGTTTGAACTCAGGAGTTCAAGACCAGACGGCAATGTAGCAAGACCTTGTCTCTTAAAAAAAAAATTTGGCCAGGCATGGTGGCATGTACCTGTAGCCCTAGCTACTCCAGAGGCAGAGTCTGAAGGATCACCAGAGCCCAGGAGGCCAAGGTTGTGGTCAGTCATGATTGTGCCATTGCACTTTAGCCTGGGTGAGGGAGATTCCAAATTAAAATAAATAAATAACTACAACCCCTCCTCCTAATCCCCTCCAGGTACTCCCAGGCACTATCCAGTGTGACAGCGCCAGGCCATGTGGGCTACTGAACACCTGAAGTGTGGCCAATTCAAATTGTGATGTGCTGCCTGGGCAAAACAAGCAAAAAGTGCAAGATACAGTCATTACATTTATTACATGCTGAAACAATATTTTGGATATATAACATCACTGAAATAAGGTGTTACAATTCATTTTACCTGCTTCCCTCTTTTTCGAATGTGACCCTCCTTGACTACTGGAGTGCCTTAGTGAAAGTATCAGCGGCAATGAAGTTACCATAACTGCAAAGCTACCATGTTTGGAGCACTTACTACATGGCTGGAATTGTGCTACTTATTATTTAATTGATAAAATCTCCATAAGTTAGAAATGGCCATTTTTAAGATGAGGAAACCAAGGGTTTGTCAAGTTAATTAACCGACCTAAGATTGTTAGTCAGATGGTATGGACATTCCAGTCCAGATCATTCTGACTTTATAAGCCATGCCAGGTCTGAATCCCCTCGGTCACAATATTCCATGTACTCACATACTTTAAGAATGACCAGCTAGGCTGAGGTGAGTGGATTGCCTGAGCCCGCGGGTTTGAGACCAACCTGGGCAACTTGGTGAGACCTCATCTCTACCATAAAATCAAAAAAATTAGCTGGGTGTGGTAGCTCATGCCTGTAGTTCCAGCTACTTGGAAGGCTGAGGCAGAAGGATCGCTGGAGCCCAGCAGGTCGAGGCTGCGGTGGCCGGGAGTGTGCCTTGCACTCCAGTCTGGGTGACAGAGTGAGACTCCAACTCAAACAAACAAACAAAAAAAGAATGACCAGCTAAGGCAATCATCATCATCATCATCACTTTAGGTATTAAAAAAAGGACAAAAATCAATCATAGGAGCCAAAAATTATGATGATCCTCTCCAGAAACAAACAAGTGGCTTAGGAACCCTGATGCATCCAGATCGCCAAGTCCTGTGCTCAGTTGTGCCCTACCTCACTTCCAGGTGCAGGACTAGCAGGCAGCGGTCGGCCATCTCCTGGAATGTCTTGGCGAGCTCGCTCAGGGTCTGAGTGATCTGCTCTGATACTGGGGGGAGATCTATATTCACGTGGCTGTCCTGAGCAGGAGAAGGCACTGGAAAAAGGAGTGAAGACAAAACACCGATCATTTCATTGGCTGCCTACAGATGATTTTGCAGTGATACATGACTCTCTTCATCTTGCTGTTCTTACCAACTTGGCTAATACTGATGATGTTGACAGCACGAGAAGTCCAAGACACATTAGACTATTTCTATGCTTGATTAAACCCAGAAGCTCAGCAGACGGTCATGAATCAATTGACCAGAGCCTCAGAATTGGAGTGGCCTTCCCTGGAGTATGGCCTGGCCGCTTGGTCTGCGCTTGTGTGTTTTGTGCACCTTCAAGGACTGTTCAGCTAGACCATACACTCACACAAACGTTGCTGAAGGGAAACTCAAGCCCTTCGAGGCAGCTTACTCCAGCTCTGAAGATCTGGCCATCTTACACCAAGTCAGTCTCTGTCTTACCAACTTCTAATGACTGGCTTCAACCTCACTTGGCAACCCTTATCACATGTGCCAGTACTTCAAATATTGAAGATATCTCCTTGGACTTTTTTGAAGTCTTCCCTCTTCCAGGCTAGAGGGCCACTGTTCTTCAACCATTTGTCCAGTGATTGGATTGAGTCGTTTTATAATTCTCAAAATTACCAACCAGCACATTCTGGTTTCTCTATATTTCCCTTGAAATGTAGAACTCAGGACCAAGTCTAGAGAGAACGACCAGCTCCCTTTTCCAGGCGCCATTCTGCTTGTTCTGCAGCCTAGAAACTGGGGTGAAAGGGGTGGTGTGCTGCGTACCCCTCTCACTCATTTATATCTTATGGCCAGGCCATTTATATCTAAAAGCCCTGACAGGGTTTGGCTGGAAATTCTGATAAAGCTATCTTCTATATTTCCCCAAAATAATTTATAAAAATGTTTAACAACATTTGCATATTTCTGGACTTCCAGTTCCCACAAATTTTTCAAAGGTCACCAACAATAATCTGGTAATCTCATCCAAAATATCTCTTTGCTCTCTACAGCCTCAAGGGTTGGTGTTAAGTCTCCAGTGCCTACTTTATGTGACTAAGAGCTAATTATTTAAATTCTCTCTGCCTTATTTTCCTACTCTGTGAAATAGGGGATACCAGTACCTATACCACAGTGTTGAATGAATTACTATAGGTGATAGAGAACTACAGCACATAACATTCATCCAATACCAATGTCCATAAGAAACACAGGCAGCGGTTACTATTCTTCTGCAGGTTATCACTTAAGCTTAATTACAGCAGCAATAGAGTTACAAAATCATACATCCATTTTGAAGTTCTATTTCCAGTATTTTTTGCTATTTTGCCTGAAAATCCTCCTCTCTTTCATAGGATACAGTCTTTTGGAAGAAGGGCTCCCTGGACTTAGGTACATGGGATGTGTGCAGCATCACTGACCAACTCAAGAGGCTGTTTCCTCCCAGGTTGGGAGCCAGGGTCAGGCTGCAGTGTTGGCTATGGCCTTTCCATGCAACTTCCATGCTTAGATGTTGCCAAGCCCAGAGAGGGCCCAGGTAGACAATTGACAATCCAGACTTACGAGATCCAGTTCTGTGGAACCAGACTCTAATAAAATAACACGTCAAACATAAAAACACATGTTGCTCGGGAAAGCTGACATGTGAGAGGAAGGGAATGTGGCCATGCAGAATTTAAATGACACCGCCCTTGTCATCATCCTCATGTCTCCTGATGATCTGTGGGAGGCTAGCCACACGACACTGCGTTTCCCCTCTGATGTTAGCACTAGTTATGTTTGATGGCAAGGCAAGAGCACTGCCTTCAGGACGTTTCCATGGAGCAGGCAGTGGTAAGCAACATTGCTATGATGTTTCAAAGCATTTTAGGACTTTTCAGCCTTTGGCTTCCTCTCATGTGACACTGACTATGGCATGGGGAGTTATCTATGAGGTGAGAAGCAGCAGAAATCAGACTTTGATATCTCACTCGTGGTCTGAGGTCCAAAGCTATACTAATCAACCAAATTCCATCAAAAGTATTCAGGACAAATCCTACCAAGAAACTAAAGATTTCCCTCTCCTATTATATAAATATGTAAATCATCACGTGGCTATTGACAACTGTCAAACTACAAATTAAAAAAAAAGGAAAAAAAACCTCACGCCTGTATGCCTAGCACTATGGGAGGCTGAGGCGGGAAGATAAGACAATATAATGAGACCTTGTCTCTACCACAAATAAAAAAAATTAGGCAGGCATGGTGGTGCATACCTGTAGTCCCAGCTACTTGGGAGGCTGAGGCAGAAAGATCACCTGAGCCCAGGAAGCCAAGTCTGCAGTGAGCCATGATCATGCCACTGTACTCCAGCCTGGGTGGCACAGTAAGACCCTGACTCAAAACGAAAATCCTAGTAGAGTAAATCTATGGCAAGATTAGCTGCCAAGGTAAAACTTGTGATGAGCAAGATCTGAATAGTAGCACGCTGTGCATTTCATTTGACTACAATCTATAGCAAACACGTAACAATATATTAAAGTAACACAGAAAATCATGCCCAGAGCTCTACTGCAAAGTTGGCATGTGAATGCACAGGAGCTCCCTGAAATTTACAAAGTTTTCTTAACACGAAGAAATATATTGAGTAAAGAAACGCTAAGCATGGCAAGTAAGACAACACATAACAATAAATTAGCTCTTAAATGTCAAATGGAAACACAAAAAGGCAAAGCTCACAGAATTTGCATGGAAGATTACAGTTAAGATATGTATGTGTTACTGGGAACACACACACACATTTGTACGCATCCTTTGGAGGCTACATGGTTATACATTTATCTCAGGTATCACTCTTCGTATCAGCAGACCCCACAGGTATTGGACTTTAAAAATATTGGTACTTGGTTACTTTATGAAGACATGCACTTTGAGTTGTTTTTCTAATACTGGGGAGGGTGACATCAGATCATTCATGATAATCCTTGTTCCTCTGATAGCCACTGCATAAACCATGCATCTTTAAGTCTCCTAGCTGTTTATGTCAGGGTAACTGTGGCTTTTTCTACTACATAAATTGATCAGTCTATATGAGGAAGGTGAACATTGATCTCTGGAGCAGTCATTGCTGTTTTGGTGAATTAGTAGACATTTCCAATTCCCTTCTCCCACGCTCACTTCACTGTAGACTCTGGAAAGCTAAATGTTTATGCTCCCAGCCCTGTTTGTTGCTAGAGCATGTGTCTTGGTCTATCTCCTGATCCCCTAAGTAGAGTCATCTGTGGTTTCTGGGAGGTCTTGTTTTTCCTGATAAAAGAAAAGAGTTAAAGTTGGTGCTACTCCTTTCTCCTTCTTTCCCCCCTTTTCCTAATTTGCATGTCATACCGGAGGCTATAGTAACCATCTTGCTATAAGAGGGAAAGACTAAGAATCAAAGAACTAAGTACTGAACTAAGTACTGCTGAACCACTGGCCAACACCAGCAACTGCTTGCTTTCAGACTTCTTGCTATATTAGGAAAACAAGTACCTCTTCAAACCACTGCAAATTAAAAAAAATAAAGTTAAAGTCTATTTTTAGTCTCTGAAATTTTAAGTTTTAATTATTATCTTCTCAGATCAAAACCTTATTTGTTTAACTCTCTTATACCCTCTTATTTATTATTAACTCCGCAATCCCTTCATTTTCTCCTAGTAGAATAGGTCCTTGGCATGGATTGCACAGTTGAGCCTCTTAACTACACTTTCGCCAGAAACCTCAACCTCCTTGAATATTCTTCTTTCACTCAAACTGTCTTAAAACCCAGTGTTACTCTGGGTCAATTGTATAGCTCATCCTTTAAAGGAAAACAAAAGAGACTGTTCCCTAATACCAAAACCAGACCAAGGCTCAACAACAACAAAAAAGAAAACTACAGGCCAATATCCATGACAAACACAGATGCAAGAATACTAACGAAAAAATTCACCAACATTTTAAAAAGATCAATTACCATAATCAAGCAGGATGCAAGGTTGGCCCAAGATACCCAGATCAATAAATGTGACACATCATATCAACAGAATAAAGGACAAAAACCATATGATCATCTCAATACATGCAGAAAAGGCACTTGATAAAAATTCAACAATCCTTCATGATAAAAACCCTCAGCAAATCGGGTACAGAAGGAACACAACTCATGATAAAAACCATATATGACAAGTCCACAGCTAATATACCAAACAAAAAAAAATTGAAAGTCTTTCCACTAATATCTGGACTAAAACAAGTATCAATGCTTTTATTCCCTGTAGTACTGAAAGTTCTAGTCAGAGCAATTAGGCAAGAGAAAGAAATAAAGGGTATCCAAATTGAAAAGGAAGAAGTCAAATTATCCTTGTTTGCAAAAGACATGATACTATATTTAGAAAAACCTAAAGACTTAACCCAAAAACTCTTAGAACTGATAAATTTAGTAAAGTTGCAGGATACAAAATCAACATACAAAAATCAGTAGGATATCTATCTATATGCTAACAGCAATCAATGTGCAAAAGAAATCTGGAAAGAAATCCTATTTACAATAATTATAAAAATATCTAGGAATATATTTAATCAAAGAAATAAAAGATCTCTACAAGGAAAACAAAACACTGATAAAAACATTGAAGAGGAAACAAAACAGTGGAAAGTTATCCTATGCTTATGGATTGGAAGAATTATATTGTTAAATTGAATAATACTTTAAAAATGGCTATATTACTCAAAGTGATCTACAGATTTAATGCAGTCTCTATCAAAATACTAATAACATTGTACACAGAATTAGAAAATAAATTCTGTGAAGACTAGAAAACAAATCCTAAAATTTGTGTGGAACCACGAAAGACTCAGATAGCTAAACCAATCCTGAGCAAAAAGAACAAAGGTAAAGGTATCACACTACTTGATTTCAAATTGTATCACAAAGCTATAGTAACCAAAACAGCATTAGTACTGGCATAAAAACGAACACATGGAACAATGGAAGAGAATAGAGAACACAGAAATAAATCCACACACTTACAGTCATTTTTGA